CTTTATTAGTATAGAAGTATTAAAACTTCTTGCAAACATCTTTTTTGTGTGTGGTTAGAGGATCAGCGGAAAGAGTTGATATATTTTTTAAACAATCTTAGTAGAAAAGCTTTTTTATCAAATTGATTAATAAAAAACTGTCGATCTTAAGTAAAATAATTATAAGAAGACTTAATTTTTATAAACAAATGAAATATATTATATATAATCAATAAGATAAAATAATAAAATATTTATTAAAATGTTTAGTTTATAAAGATTAAGTATAAAAAATATAAAATAATAAATTCTTAGAGATTTTAAAGGATTTTTACAAGAAATAAAAAAAGAAGTTAAGAAAAAAAATATTAGACTAATTATAAATAATTGTGAAGAACTGGAAGGGTTTGATAAATAGATCTTCAGATTAATAAAACAGATCTCAAAAACTAGTTAAGAAACTTTAAAATTTTGAGGATATAACTAAAAAGTTTTTATATTTTCTAGATTTAAAGATTATATTTTCAGTAAAAGGAAAGCTATTATTAGAAAAAAAATCTTAAAAATAGAAGTCTCAAAAAAACTATAACAAAAAAAGTTGAATTTAAAATGATGTAATTAGGGTTTTAAATCTTATTAAAATCTCATAAAGTGATTTGTAGTAGTGATTTGCAAGTAATGAAGTTAGCAGTAGAAAGGATTTTTACTTGAACTATTAATAGAATAATAAATTACTTTGAAGTTGCACATAGAGTTTTAGAAAAACCATAAAATAGAGACAAGTGAGTTAGGTAGAGATTTGGTTTTAACAAAACATTTTAAAAGATAAGGTATATGGATGTTTAATAAAATATACATATCTAACTTAATTAAGAGTTAATAAAAAAAAATAAATAAATAAATAATATTAAAAAAGTTTAACATTAAAGCAAACTTAATATATTGTAAATAGAAATGATATTGAAATTTTTTCAATAATAAATTATATACAGTAAATCTTAATTGACTTTGAAAAATTAAATTTATTATAATAAGATTACAAAGTAAGTTAGATTCAATTATATATAGTATATTCTTTATCATTTAATTAGTCATACGTATCTCTAATCAATAATTAAAAAATTATATTTACAAATTTATAATCTTATTGCATTGTATTTTTTTTCTTATGGTTTTTTTTTTTTTGATAAGGTATTTATGAATTGAATAAAAGTTTCTTCCGCCATGTAAACTACAAAGATTACGAAATTGAATAATATCCAGCCTATAGTATTATAAACTGGTTAGATTATATTATATTGCGATTTGATTATAATTGTAATATTACTTATTACAATAATAAATTTTTAGTTAAAAGAATTTTGAGACAAATTCTTCGTTTATTTTTTTCGCACGCCGTTACATTTCTAAAACCGAAAGAACCAAAATATTATATTAATGATTTTTGATGGCAAACTTAAGATATAAAGTGAAAAAGAAATGACAGTTTAACGCTTTATTCGTAAGTAACTCAAAAGAAATGGACAAACCAAGATTACTCGGTCTCAATTTACAAGAATGTATATATTATAATAAATGTGTAGTTCTTTTCTATTAGACTTTCTTTTAAAGAAATCTCTTGAGAAAGTTTTATTACTACACTTGTTTGATCGACAATACGTACTCTATAGTTTAATTATGTGACCTTGGTAATTCTAAATATGGTAGTTATTTATAAGAAAGCTCTTTTGGGAGGATTCGGAAATTGAGATTCAAATGAAGGATAGGGTTCTGTCTGAATGATATTAGAATAATCATTGTAATCGCTTAAGGTCATTCTGTTCAAGGGAGAAACATCATCCGATGGTTGTTGATGTTCCATTTCTAATTTGTGAATTATCGTTGAATTTGGTCTGTTAACACCATTGTTGTTATCATTAGAATCAAAATTGTGAATGTCTTCAAAGGGAGAACAATCAATTGATAAATTAGTTGATGAAAGTCGGCCTAATTGTACCATAGGTGGTTGACTTGGAATTCTGCTTTCACTACTATAATCGTCATTACCCTCATCACTATCATTTATGACATCGTTATGAGCATTCCCATATATGAAGTTATTATCTACATTATCGCCTGCGACAATATTGGCATTATCACCCATGAAATTATTAACATTATTATCTGTGCCGCTATTGCCGGTATTATAGCCTATGAAGTTATTATTAGCAATTTCATCATCATAATCAACAATATTGACTAAGATCGAATTATTATTGTTATTGTCAACTGCATAGTTCCGAGAAGAATCGTTATTTTCCAACGGCAAACTGGCGAATTTAGGAGTTTCAGGTAGATCTGGTTCGTCTTTTAAACGGATTGTTCCCTTTTTATCCTCACCACCACATTTTCGACATATAACGGTGATAATAACCACTAACGCAACAACCACCAATACAATTCCAACCAACAGAAACGACGAAGTCTTTGAATAATCACTAGTTCCATTGCTTGATGAAAGACTTGATCCGCTAGGTAATTGGCTACTTGTTAAAGTTTCAGTATTTATTGTCGAGCTAATCGGAGTATGGCTTGTCACAGAATTGCTTGTGGAACTTTGCTTGACGACATTAAATAGAGTGCTACTGGTTGATTGAGGGTGAGTGGAGGTGGTAGGTGAGGAGGTATGGTCTGTTTTGTGTTTAGTGTCGGTTATTTTTGCCATTATTTACACTTTATGCGAATAAAATATTCGATACTTCTATAAAAAATGGTTATTAAGATAGAAAGGATGATATGCCAGGAAACATGGGTTTTATTGTCTGATGTTTAGAAAGCTTATAGCGAATTAGACCTATAAGAATTTTGAGTTCGAAAGTGGGTAAATAGGAGAAGAATCAAGATGAAATTAAAAAGGACGGGAGAAGGGAGGTAAACGAGAGTAAAGGAGGAGGAAAAGGGAGGGAGGAGGGGGAAAAAGCAATTCTTTCAGACAGCAGAAAGGGAAGATACCAACACGTAGTTTTGTGCGAACCATGGTGTAAATAATCCGAATCGTTTTAATGTCGCACACAGAAATCGAATTAATTTGTTTGGCATAAAACATGCGGTGGCACAATCTATACAATAAACTGCTACACTCACAATGAACCTCCGTACAACTAGCGCCATGTGTTTTATCCTAAATTTTATTGGTCGCAGTCCACCTGTGGTGCTTACATTATGAAATACAAGATGCACATACGGGTATGACTATCGAATCTAATCTGTTGACCGTTTTTCTTTGATTGTCAATGTTCATAGTCCCGGACTTGCTATCTCAAAATGTTGTCCGATTTAATCATAAAAAGATCGACATTTCGGATTCGGACAATGCAACCTTATTGTCGATCAAACTAATATCTTGCATGTAACGTATCTTTATTATAGAAAAAAAAAAAGTTTTTTTTTTTTATTTTTTTATTAGAAATACAGTAAATGTTTATATACAATAGTTATTTTTGAATATAAATCCAAAAATTTCAAAATTTAAAATTAATTTAAAGTTATTGTATATATAACCAGTAATTATATTTCAAATTTTAAGCCAGGTTAGCAACACATATTTATTATAGATTACTTAATATAAAATATACACTAGTCAAAATTATGTCATTTAGCTGCTGAATTATTGCTGAATTTGGCAAAATGTAATCATAAAAAGATTGATATGATTGTTGCTACTTGGCATAAAAATATTGACAAAAAATTAACAAAAAATTAACAAAAAAATTTTGACAT